CTGTCTCCTTCGTCTTGCTGCCCTGTCTCTTCCCTGGTATAAAGCGCATCCACAATCGCATGGTAAGGCACATGTTGTGTTCCACCCGTTTCATGGAGCAGGGTTATCCCGGCCCCTCAGTTCAAGGACAGGGAACTGCTTGAAAGAGTCCAGCGCAGACCCACAGAGATGGTGAAGGGAGTGGAACATCTCCCTGACGAGGAAAGGCTGAGGGAGCTGGGTCTCTTTAGCTTGGAGGAGACTGAGGGGTGACCTCATCAATTTTTACAAATATGTAAGGGGTGAGTGTCAGGAGGACAGTCAGGCTTTTTCAGTGATGTCCAGTGACAGGACAAGGGGCAATGGGTGCAAACTGGTACATAGGAGGTTCCATGTGAATATCAGAAAAAACTCCTTTACTGTGAGAGTGACAGAGCACTGGAACAGGCTGCCCAGAGAGGCTGTGGAGTCTCCTTCTCTGGAGACATTCAAAACCCGCCTGGACACGTTCCTGTGTGATGTGCTCTAGGTGACCCTGCTCTGGCAGGGGGGTTGGACTAGATGATCTTTCGAGGTCCCTTCCAACCCCTAAGATTCTGTGATTCTGTGATTTTGTGATCCTTAGGAGTTCCCCCACCATCCCGGCAGCCTGCTGCTTCCTCCCCACCTCAGCCATCATTCTGCTCACACCTAGTTCCATATAATTCTCCTAAACTACCACTGCAGCCAATTTTTGTAATCTCTTCAATAACTTAATATTTACATTAAAATTTTAGGCACGAGGTTTTAAAATCCTAGAACCTGGAAAGTAACCATTTCCGTGGTATTTGGCCGTGAGGGTGAATAGCAGCACAGCTCAGGCACTGAATGAATGAGCGGCCTCATTCAGAAGCGCCGCACACCCAACACTCCGCGACGTCAAACAAAGGTATGCTAAGCCAACTGCGTTTGTAGCAAGTGGAATAATTTGCCCAGTGAGCAGCAGGATGAATTAATAACCCCTTTGAATGGAATTGAGTACAAAATCTTGGCATTCGAGTCACTTCATTTATCTAGTACACAATAGGTATTTTTAATTCCTCTGAAGGCAGTTGTGCACTCACAGCGTATGCCCTCTGGTGGGAAAGAAAAGCTCCAGAGAGGGAATTAGAGCAGATCAGCCCCTGCTCTGCTGAGCTAGTACATTCCACAAGGTCGGCAGCCGGCTGGCCAGGGCTTTGCTGGAGAAGAGCTGACACTTCCAGAGGTGTTCAAATAGGATTCCCCACACTGGGCAAACGATGAACCTGTGTTACGAGCACCACTGCACAACTCATGTGAATGTTACAGATTAATTTCTCTTTATTTTTTGAGTGCTAGAGCACAAAAGCTCTAAAGTTTTTGTGAGCTACATATTAAGATCTATCACATTTTTTTATCCATAAAGGTAGGAATGACAGAAGATCAAAGGGAAGTGTTTGTTTGAAGATAAGCAGGTCTCTGTGTAAATATCGATTATTTGAGCATACAAGGAGTTAATTGCAAAAAACAGTAATAAAAAAATTAAGGACCCCTCGCGAGACCAGCTGATGTGTAAATTCTGTTTACCTGAGAAAATCTACAATGACATTTACCATTTTAATTGATTTAAGAGAAATACAGCTTGCATTTTTATAATGAACATTCCCAGACTTTTGCTGGAAGTAGGCTTTAAAAGAGATGCAAATGACAATCTATTTAATGGCTGTGTGCAGAAACAGAAGCTGCCCACTTTGCACTGAAGATGTGTGAGTGTGAGATCTGCAGATCCAGAATGAAGCACTTAAAGTAAGATCTGCAGATCCAGAATGAAGCACTTAAAGTAACCTAAAATAACCAGTACAGCTGTGCCCTAAGACAACGATGAAATAGTAATGAGAGGCAATTTTTGAGCACTGGTGAGCCTGTGAGAACATATCACAAATGACTAATCAATTTATATGCTCATATATAATACTAATTAGCATTGCTATTAGCTGTCCCTGTGTATACATTTTGCATTCTCATTGGCAGTTACTTCCATGTAGGGCTAACAATAATCAGATGTGGAGTATGGGCAATAAAAGAAACCCTCTCATTTGCTGCAGACAGCCGGGAATGGATCTGCAACTTTATTTCAAGCTGGGGACTAAATTGGGTGACGTTTCTCTGTCGTCTGCAGAGTACCTATTGGGAATCACCACATGCCTGTAAAATCTAATTATAATCTATGTGTTGAACTGGACTGTGTTTCTATTGCTCCACAAAACCAGTCTCCAAAGCAATTCTAAGTACAACCAGCTCTTAATCTTTTTTTGATCCAATGTATGAGAAGCTGAACGCTGGGAGCTGTGGTAGAAAAACTGACATGTGATGCCCATCAGTTAAGATGTGAGAGAGGTACTTTGCTACTAGTGTGATTTGGCAGTGAGTGCAGTGTGTGATACTTAACGTGTCTGAATGCTTTGTTGTCCTCACATTTCTCTTCACTTGGTGTTTCACAAACTATTCATGGAGACCTGGTGAGTTGCTAATATGAGGCCCTCCTGGCAATGCTGGGACAGATAAAATCTTGTATGGAAGCATGCTGAGGTAGTCCCTGAAAAGGTACACTTAGAGGATGTCTGGACAAAAGGCAAACAAGTGTGATCCTGGGTGTAACCTTGGACCTACCCTTCACAGATGGATTATGGATTGTTTCAAGTCCAGCGGTGTTACAGCACAGGATAGTCTAACAAAGTCTGATGTGCTGAGCTACCTTACAGTCCTCATTTTGTGCTGTGTGTAAGCTGCCACTGTCCCTTCTTGTTCTCATTTGTATCCCAGGTCTGCCTTAGTTTTCTAGCAGTTGTTCCAGTGCCAAGCTACACCCAGTCCAGCTTGAAGAGCACCTTCATTTTACTTGAGGGACAAAGGACTCGGTTATATTATGCAAGTGAAAAGCAGAAACTAGAACCAATTACGCCTGTCGCTCCCTCAGGGGGCTGAATCATAGAAGAGTATTTTGCAGAAATATTTTTAAATTGTTCTTAAGAAAGTAGACCATAGTCTCATATGCATGATGAGCAAGTTCTGTAAGCTACCAGATCCAAGAGCATGTAATTTCAGCAAAGCTTATTTTTTGAAGTATGTAATCCAGCAGGGAGGGAAAATTAATTATTTAAAACCTAACAGTCATAATTATGAAGAACTATATTAGCATTACAATTTTGAAGTCTAATCTACATGATGATGAAGAATGCAAAGATGTTGTCTAAGAAGGGTAGAGCTTTTCAGAAGGAGTAGTTTTCTGCATTGTTTAGAATAGAAAGGCTAGTGTATCAAATGATATTTGCTTACAGGATTTTTTAGTGAAATGAAGGATATTTGCGTCAAAACCAACAGCTCTGGAGAAAGAAAACTATTTTTCTTTCTCGTGAATATGGCAAAAACAGCAGTTGAAAT